ATCTTGTTTGAAGTCCCATCAAGACTTTTGTTCTTCTGACTCCATCAGTCTTAACATGTTGTATGTTACTGGATTTTATTATATGTGATAATAGAAAAAAAACTTTTATAGACAAGGAGATAATACAGAAACCATTGTTCATTTTCTGATAGTTGGTTCTAAATACCCTGTAATACTATCATTCTCTTGAATGGTTTTACATTGTCTTGATATGTTTGATGCTATAGTATACGAAGTTATACTCAAAGATTTCAAGGAAAGAGACACTATGGTAACTACTTTTATGTCGGGATATCTTGTGGTGAAACACTATTTTGCTTAAATGGTTTGTTCTGACCTGTGCTGTTTTGTTATTATGTCCTCTTTTATTTCAGCCTCCTTTTTTATTATTTATTTTTATCTTTTTAATTAAGGGAAAAAATAAATAAAAAAATAGCAGGATATATTATAGTAAACCACTTTGATTTCCTGTTAACTTGATTTGAAACCCTATATTGCTCTCATCATCTTGTTTTGACTGATTTTCCTCTATTCTGTTTTGCTTGATAGTACCAAGTTTGAGAGTATAGGCAACAACTGTGAAGACAGTAAGATTCACTATGATGCCCATTCTGGTTTGACTATTATCTTCTTTTGAAGTCCTGTAATGTCTCCAATGTTTTGGTTTTATTGGTTTTATTCTTTACTGTTTTGTTTAATTTTATTATAACTGATGATATAGGCAATTCTTTTTAAGATAGCAAGAGGCATTATGGTAACCATTGTTGATCACCTTGTATTCTGTTTTTACATTATGTACTATGTCCATCCTTTTGATTTGATTGATTCTGTTTTGTTATGTCACATTTGGTAATTGTCATTGAAAAAAGAGAGGAAAAGAAAGTACTCTAAAGGATATAACTGCATGTATATTTAAGTGTATAAGATAGATAACCATATTAGTGAGTTTTTGTTGGATCATTGAACAGAACTGTTTGCAGTCTCACTGTTTGAATGTCCACTTTATATGCTTTAATTTTGTAACTTGAACAACTATTTCTAAGATGACAATATGTAATCTATTAACTAGTGATTTCCTACTGTTTATTTTTTTTTGAAATTCTGTATAACTTGAACCCTTTTTCTGTTTTTTTTTCTTTTTCTCCTTAAATAAAAAAAAAAAAAAAAAAAAAATCCAAAAGTATGTTCTATATTTGTGAGACATGGAGTGAACTATAGTGAACTATAGTGAAGAGCAGGCTCCTTATGGCATCTGTGTCCTTACACCTCGTCTATATCTCATGGGAGCCTGTGAGGAGTTCTAACATACAAGGTCCTGGGAATTATTTAGTGCTGTCCTCCAATCCCATAATCCACAGGTCCTGCTTATTTCCCCAGCCAGTTCTGCCATGCTCTACTTCCTATGTCATTTGGAGTTGGACTTTTCAGTAATGCTGAAACCAGTAGGCCTTTGCAACTCTTATGAAATGGACTAAATGTATTCACGTGCATAGAGATGCACATGAGTCTTTTGGGGATCAGGGACAGAATATTATGGTCTGTATCTAGATGTCCACTCTCTACCCTAAAGCCTATCTACTCATTTGGGAGGTGACTGGCTCATGGTGGGTGATACTCACCAGTGGATTGATCCACTCTTGAGTTTATTACTAAATGCATTTTTGTACATTTTATTTTATGGAAAACATGGTATTGCTAAATGTGACATTGGGAGCTGAAGCCTGGTTGAAGAAGGCGGGTCATGGCCTGGGAGGGCACACTTCCCTTCTTCCTCTCCTGATCGTTCTCTCTGCTTCCTGCTGCCAGGTCATAAAGCAAGCTCCCTCTGCTCACACCCTTCTGCTATGTTGCCCTGTCCTGGAGCCAGCCCATTATGGACTGAAATCTCTATGAACTGTAAGCCATAATAAATCTTTCCTCCTTTAAATTGTGGGCACTGGGCATTGTGTGTTAGCAATGAGAGGAGTAATTGAGACACACAGCTGCTTCAACACATGAACCTGGAGTCAGATCCCTGGATTTAGATCTCTCCTTTACCAGCTTGGTATCCATGAGTGAGCTAATTAGCTTCTTTGACCTCAGTTTATGAATCTGTAAATGGGATCATGTACATTTCCAGAAGAATTCAATGAGAGAGAAACTGGCAGTGTCTACAGAGTAAGCTTCCACACTGGAAAAGAACAGTGACTATTTTTAGAAGAGTTAGCCGCTATATTTTAAATAGGGATTTATTTATTTATCTAGTTGAACCTTATTTTACAGTCACATTTGAACATTTGGGGTTCAGATCTGTTTCATCCCATCAAGTCTACCTTATCCTCTCTTCACATTCCCCAAGCCATCATCTTTTTTATTATTTATTTTGCCAGGATTTTTTTTCTTTCTTTTTTTTTTTTTTTTTTTTTTTTGTACCAGGGATTGAACTCACAACCTCGCACTTGCCAGGCAGGCACTTACACCACTGAGCTAAACTTCTGGCCCTATGTATTTGTTTTGGTACTGGTGATTGAACTCATGATTTTGCACTTGCCAGGCAGGCACTTACTTGTGTCACTGAGCTAAATCCCCAGCCCTCCAAACCATCATCCTTGAATATCCTAAAGAAAAACTTTGTCCGAGTCTGTTGGCCTCAGGTAAAGAGACCTTATTCATCCTTTGTCTCAGTGGAATCTCTTGTGGTCCAACAGTTTCCTCTTCAAGAAATTGCACTTCAGCAAGCCCCAGGCCTAGCAGATCCACGTCTGGAAAATCCAAGAGCTCCCAGTTTCAGACCCCAGAAAGAGCAACTTTCTTTCTGGCCCATTATCTCACTCCTTTGCATACACTATCAACTTCTTCCTTCCCCTCCATCAGGTTTACTGTGCTTCTAACCTGTTTGGTTTTCTTTTTCTCCCAGACAAAAAGCACTATCAAAAATTTAGAATCAAGATTTAAACTGTGTTACAGGGGACTTAGCTCAGCCGCATAAGTGCCTGCCTTGCATGCGTGTGGTCATAAATTCAATCCTGGGTATCAAAAAAAAAAAAAAAAGATTTAAATTGTGAAATTTGGTTTAAGTTGTTGCCTTTCAAAGGCATTTCAAAGAAGTCTGCATATTTTTTTTCCTTTTCAGGTACACTAAGTCCCCAATTTATAAACATTTGAGTTGCAAACTTTCACAGCTGGGAATGGACTCTGCATTCTCAACATTCCCAGATGTGAACAAATCACGGAAGTAGCTCACATGTTTGCTGGACATTGTCACAGTTCGCTGCTGGGTGATTACTGTACGGGGTGATAGTGTGCTGCAGAGCTCAGCCTAGGCCCGGGATGTCCGGAAGCCCGTGATGTGGAGGTCACTCCTGGGAAGCACAAAGCAGGATACATTGTCTATTTGTTTCCAAGACTCACTTTGTCGGACCTATGAATGAATCTAACTTAGGAACTTCCTGCAAGGGAACTCCTAAGCTGGGGATTTACTACTCTGGGTTAAACCCACTGAGTTACCTACCTCAGTCCTTGTTAAAATTTTGAGATAAAGTTTTGCTGAATTGCTAAACTGCTCTGTCTGGGTTCAAACTTGTGATCGACCTGCCTCAGTTTCTCGGAGTGCTGGGATTACTGGTGGCAACCACTACGCCAGGCATACCTTTCTTGAGGACATGCCATTTGTGGGGGAGTGTGTGTGTCCCCTGGAGGTCTTCTGAAAATACTACGGAGAGCGAGGGATGTGGGGCAAGCCTTTTGGAATGGGGTGGGGGGGGTGGGGGTGGGGATGGCGTCCAAACTCCTACTTTTAGCCTTTAGGGACTCTTAGGAGATGAAAGGGAAGCTGTCCCCAGATACTGCAGAAGACCGCCCCTCCCACGCCGCAGGGGAGAGACCAGCCTGTGGTCGTGGCTGGAAGTGCTGGGCTCTGGGCAGGCGGTGGGGAGGGGCTGCCTGCGAGCTCAGTCCCAGATGGCCTGGGATATTTATAGCACCTGTGCCCCTGGACCTTTCTGCACCTGGATTTATACGGCCAGTGGCTGTAGCTGTGGGGAATGAGGCGGCACATACCCTTGCAAGGGGGCCTGCTGATTCTTGGCTTGGAACTCCTACTGGAACGAGTTACAAAATCATAACAAGGGGCGGTCTAGAGCAACACCGAGGCAGAGCAGCTCCTCAGTAGTGGGTTAGGTCCAGCGAGAAGAGGGACTTTCCAGCTCCACGTGATGCCATCCTGGCCAAGGCCTGGGCTTGGCAGGTGCGGGCGGCAGGGGGCGCGAGCCCGCCCACCAAGTTCCCCCGGGCTGCAGGGAGCCCGGAGAGCACGTGGTAGTGGATACTTTTTTCAGATGCAAAACTATAGAGTCCACGTTTGCGCCCCGTGATCGCTGTCCGCACCTTCAATTTTCCTTAATCACTACCTGTCTGGCTGTTCCAGACAGTAGTGACATCATCCAAAAAGCAAACAAATTGCTGTCCTTTGGGCCTTTCAGGAACCCAGTGGTGGAGGCTCAGGGGGCACAGGGCTTGGAACCGAGAAGGACGCCTCCGTTGTCCAGCTCGGCGTCAGTCATAGGAGGCCCTGGCAGAGCACGCGACTGTGGAGCCCTCTCTGACTGGCAGCAGATCGTGGGTGGGGAGTGAAGGACAGTTGGTGATGCCCAGAGAAACAAACCTATCGTTGACACTATTTAATCCCTGGGCAGTGCAAATGGGGTAGGCACTGTTGCCACATCACTATGTCACAGATGGAGAAACTGAGGCTTGAAGGCCAATTTAAGGGACTTGACCCAAGGCGAAGTGGCAAGTGTGTCCTGAAGCTTGAAACCGACTCAATGAACTCCAGGGTCCTCGTGCACCAAGCTGGGGGGCGACTACAAAGGCTGCGGGGACGCCCGGTACCAGGGGGCGTCAGGCTAGGAATCCCAAGCATCACTGCGGGGCCCGGGCAGCTGGCGGACACGGCTGGGGACAGCGCCCCCACCCTGGCCGAGCTGGTGGCTGGCGCAGGCCACATACCGCGCAGCGTAGAGGAAATGGCTGGGATTCCTCCCGCGGCGCTGCGCGGCCGGCTGGGCGGGCTGGGAGGGACCGCGCAGGAGGCCGGGGCACGGCAGTGGGGACGCCTCCCTGGAGAGCTCCCGCCACTCACTGCAGGCACTGAGGCCCCAGGTCCCGGGAAGCCTCCAGAGGGGACCACATGGAGGGGCACGGCTCGGCTCTTGCAGAGACGACCCCAACACCCAACCCCCAGCTCAGCCCAGCCTCCAGCTCCTGATCTTCCTTCGCTCAGGCCTGTGGGGACAGGGGGAGGGAAGCAAGGTGCTCGAGGAGGGTGCCGGGGACCGACTCTGCTCCTGGTAGCAAAGCTCAGACAGTTCTAGGCCCAGTCCTCAGGGCTGGCTGAGCAGGCCTTTCTTTGCTACAGGTTTCGGGAGCAGAGCAGGAAACTGGCTGGGGAGGGAAGGCCAGAGAGAGAGGGTGGCCCCTCTGGGGCCTGCTGGTAACAAGAAGGGCTGGGTGGGCTGGAGGAGTAGACCTGAGGGAGGAACATGGGGGTCCTAGCGAGCTGGGACTGGGCCTGGAGAGCCGTCCTGATCAGACTGCTGTGGGGAGGCCTGAGAAGAGATCAGAAACCTTCTTGGAGTCATCTGAACTTGAGAAAGCTCCCTGCTTCCCTTGGACACAAGCAAAATGCAAAATTTGGAGGTGGGGAGGGGGGATAGATGAAGGACTTGAAGTGGGGGCCCATGTAACCTCTGCTAGCAAGGTGGCCCCAGTACCTGCACAGTCTCTTTACAATTCCTGGTTTGCTGCAGAAGCTGGCCTGTGAGAGGCTTTGTCTTGGCCTGGCACCTAACTCTCACCGTGTGAGCGCTGCCCTCACACTCCCTGCCTTGTTCTCCTCAGCCTGGAAGGCCCCTGACCCTCTTGGTCTGGTGAATCTGACTCTTTGCCCAGCCATCTTATTCATTCCCTGATTTCCATATCCTCTATGCTCTCTGCCTGCTTCCTCATGGGCCTCAGTGTGCCTTTTACGCACACGGATTTTCATGAAAGTGCGCTTAGAAAGCTGTCTCCCAAGCCAGACAGTAGCTCTGGGAGGGCAGGACTGGCCAAGTCGTACACTGCCTGAGTGTTGGTAGAGTGCATGAACTTCCCGCCTGACTCCATAGATAACTTACTATGCAGACCTGCCCTGCCCTCTCTTGACACCCAAAGAAGGGCCCAGTGCAATGGGCTGGATGCCATTCTCTCCTTAGAACCACTCGGGACTTCACACCTTGGTCCTACTCCCCAACTCCCTTTTTTCTGCTATTTTTTTTTTTTTGGTCTTTTTCATTTTTATCGGTACCAGGGATCAAACTCACGACCGCCTGCTTGCAAGGCAGGTGCTTATGCCGCTGAGCTAAATCCCCAGCCCCTCCCTTTTTTCTTATCCTCGCTCCAGGCTTGGAGCAGGACTTGGTTGATGAGCACCTAAGTCCCTATCCCACCCTCCCCCACCTCCACTCCCAGGATTTAGCAGCTGTTTCTCAACCCAAGGCTCAGGAAGTCTGGCTCCACACAAAGTGAGGCTGCCCTGTCGTTCTCCGTGGGATTGAGCTCAAAGGAAGGAAGCGCCATAGCCCAAGGCTGGGGGGAGCAATGGCCATAGTGTGTCTGTTTGCTATGCCACATCCTCAGGGTGCCTTCAAGCTTGAAGCAGCACAAGGACACTCACATCATCTGAATCCAAGCCGCCAGCTTAAATTTCCACCCTTTCAACCCTTGGGGGGCACCCAAGTGGTGGGACTTCGGTCTGGACAGAGACTCTCCCCCAAATAAGTTTCCTGCAAGACTGGGGAGGAAACAGGAGAGCAGAGTCAGCCTGTCCTAATGCATTTGCCCCACCTCAGATGCATTAGTGGGTGACAGTGGAACTGGGGCATGGCAGGGCATGCAGTGTCATTTCCAGGGCTGGCTCTAGACCCCCCCCCCACGCACAAGGCACTGGCCCAGGTGGCCTTGGCAGACCATTCATACAGCGCTCACACAGTCACAATGGTTCTGGGAATTCTGGATGTCAAAACTACATTTTTCACAAGAAAAAGGAAGAGATTTTGGCATTTTTGCTGGAGAAACAGGAACTGACCAAGACAGTGAACTCCAGGGATTGCTTCCTCACCCGGTGCTCAGAACGAGGGTGGGGTCTCTGGGCCCTGCTATGCTCTCCCAGGGATTGTGGGGAGGAGCTCTGGGGTTTAATGGGACCAGAGGGGAAAGAAGAGAAAGGGCAGGGGGAAGGGATGGAGAAACACGCAGGGGAAGGGAGGGCAGGAAGGACCGGCTGGTCCTTGAGCGCCGGGAAGCCGGGAGTCAGAGGGGGTGGAGTTGGGGTTGCGGGCACCTGGGACTCGCGGATGCTCTGTGTGACTTCTGTTTTTATGCTGTCATAAAAGAGCATCAGCACCGTGTTTCCTTTGGGCTCCCAGTTCCGGAGTTGTGGTGCTGTGGTCTCATAGCACTGGAAGACAACTGCAGGTCCTCACTGTAGTCTCGGCCCTGTTTTCTCCTGACCCGCTGCCCTGCGTCAAACAGTTTGTGGATCCTGGGTGAAGAAGAAAAACATTTTCCCCTTGCAGAGCCTAGAACCGAGTAGCAGGAGCTGGTGTTCAAACAATAAAGCTTTACAGTAACAGTAACAAAGAGAGCTCAGGGTAATGGTTTCTAAGAGAGGAGATGAGCCACAGCAGAAAGCTCTTAGCAAAAGGTGGGATCTAAAGAGGGCTTTGGATGGCGGATAGCCATTTGGGAAAGAGGACCTTCCCAGGAGAAGGGGGATGGAGCATCTGTAGCTCAGTGCGTGAGAGAGGTGGGAGCCCAGCAGGTGGCGCACATGGGTACAGGGGCGGGCTGGGACACAGAGCTGGAGGTCCCAACTGCCCACCAAAGTCTGTAGGATTTCTCCAGGGGCACAGAGGAGGCCTTGACCAGCAAAGGCAGGACCCAGTAGCACATGCTGCAGGCACCTTCGAGAATGCAGCAAGGTGAAGGGAGCTGGCCTGGGAAGGGGGAGCTGCAGCCAACACACCCATGCGGGGACTCAACAGACCGCATCTGGATTTGCACTCTCGGTTCCTTGCAGGGTGCAGCTGACCTGAGACTGGGCCCCTTGACTGTGTCTTCATTGGCTCTACCTGTGATGTACATGGAGGCTGCAGCTCTCAAATGGAAACAAAGCTAGTGGCAGGTGGAGGCCTCTTCCTTCTGGACAGACTGAGGAAAGGTGGGGTGGGGGTGGGGGATGTACAGGTATAGGCCCAGACAAGGGTGAGACTCTGGAAACCCGGCAGGAAGGAAGATGGCAGAAGGGAACACTCCTGAGGCAACTGGGCTGGTGGATGGGTCGGGGGCGGCGAAGGTGCCAGGGTTTAGAGGTCTCCTGGGCCAGAAGAACTTTCCTGTGCTCCTTGGATCGCATGGCTCAGTCCTGAATGGAGCAGTCCGTCTCACCTAGTGTAGTGGATGGCAGGGTTGCGGCAGCTGCCATTGTAAAATAAACTTGAGTTCTTTTCCTGGCTCATAGGCTCTCAGTAGGGCAGAGGTGGCATCTCCCCCAGGTCTTAGTACTCACTAGTCCCTCAATAAGTCACCTGAAGAAAAGGATCAGGATCAGAGGCCCCACGATGAAGAGGAGAACCCTTAGAGATGATGGTAGAGGCTGAGTTTATTGTTTCAGTCACCCTCACCCCGTATCTGGGTGTGATTGGGAAATGCGCTTCCCGTGGGGGGTCTTTGCTTATGGCCCAGTTCCTCTGTACTGCTCTCTTCCCCCAGCTGGCTTTCGTTTCTTCCATGGGGCACGTGTTAGTATTTATTAATTCACTCCATCTATATTGGTCATCTCCAGTGTGCTAGGTATCGTACTAGGTGGGGAACACATGGCAAACAATGCTTATGACTCAAGTAGGTGAGCATTTAAAACTGTTCCCTACATGGGCCGGTTATCCTTGGCTGGAGGAATGTGGGATTTGTCTTGCTAGTTATGGGTTTGTGGTGCCATCTGCTGGTCACATGTGAGTACACACCCGCAGACTGGGGTGAATGAACACATGGAGAGGCCACTCAGGAAAACATAAAAGGAGACAGACATAGCTGCATACACACAGTGAACCGTATACGTGTTCACATACAGGCACACACATCTGAAGTGCAAACACACAGACACAGTCACAGGTAGAAACTCAGGATCTAACAGAGCACCTCACCTTCGGTAGGAGTCCAATACGTATTTTCTAGTCTGCAAAACAAAACCAATTCTTTAGATCAGCTTTTTTCCAGGTTCAGTTTTCACCTTTCTTCCTAGCTACTGAGCCACGAATGCTCCAGCCAATGCTCCTGCCCTTGCCTCACTGTGTCTTTAAAAACAAATTTAAATCTAACTTCGGGAAGCTGCTTTATCTCTGTGGCTAAGGTAATACTTCCTCTTGTGAGCTTTTGTAACATCCTGATATTTATCATCATCCTATTTCCCTCCCAGCTATTTGGGAGCTCGCGGCGTCTTCTCCTTTTCTACTCTGTAAAGTTTTTGAGGACAGAACTGGCGCCTGACTCAGGCTGCCACATCACCTTGCATAAAGGAAAGGCTTGCTGAATGAATGAATGAACGTCTCAGTCGTGGGCTTGCAGGAGAATGAAGACAATACACTGAGACGCACATTTACTTACGTACATCACTCTTTCCTGCAAAGACATCCGTGGTTACCTACTAGCACGGAAACACATCTCTGTCCCTATGGCTGCCAGCAGACATGTTCGTTACATGAAACTCTTAATTCTTCTTTCATTATTTCATTTCGGTTCTTCTGCTCCCTGGGCACTGCAGCAATAGCCTCTTAGCTGTTCTCTATTTCAGTTCTTCCCTTTGCACTGTTTCCATTGACCTCAGGTTGCATCTTTTTGAGGATGTTGTTTACTAGCTCAAGAACTCTAGTAGTTCATGCTACCTTGAATGATAAAGTCTTGAAAAAAAACCAAATCTTTTCTTTTTTAACTCTTTCTTTAGAGAAGGAGTAGTATCCAGTAAAAAAAAATAATGGAGTTGCTCTGTGCAAATGTTTATCATTGCCTATTAAAAGATGCATCAGTGGTTGATGTACCAGTTCAACTTTCTTACTTCCTGGAATGTGATTGCAGGAGCTGCTGCAACTGTTTTTCAATCATGAGGGAAAGACCAAGATGTTGCCTCTGACATCACTGAGCAACTGAACAAATGATACTATGTATAGATTCTTCTTTTACATGACAAAATAAACCTTTTTGCTTAAGCCACTGCAAATTTTGTTTTCTGGGATAGTTCACCTGGATGTAATCCTAATTTAGGATTTTAAATGCTTTTCCAGGAATACTCACAGGATAAAGTCTGATTTGCTTAACCTGATGTTTATGAACCCTCATGATCTGGCTGTACTCAGCTCATTCAGTCTTCCTGGTATTGTCATGGCCACACGCTAATCCAGGCCTCCACCATCTCTCCCCCAGACTACCAGGAACTTCTGGCTCATCTCCCATTCCCACCATCCAGTTCTTCCAACCATTCTTGTCATAGCAGCCAGAGGTCCTTTTAAAATAAATCAGATCAGTGTCTTTTTAATTCTTAAATCCTTTTAGTGACTTTTTATTACTCTTTAACTCAAATCTAAACTTCTTAATAAAACCAAAACTTTACAAGGATTCTAGGGTCAATTAGCTAGTCCTTAACCTTGGCTGTACATTAGAATCACATAGAAATATTAAAACATTATCTGTGATTGAACCTTGCCGTGTGTGTGTGTGTGTGTGTGTAACTGGGGACCTGTTTCAGTCACTTTCTTCAATGCTGGGACACCCTGCATTTAGGAGAGGTTTATTTTGGCCCGCATTTTTGTCCGCAGTTGGCTGGCTTCAAGGCAGGATGGTGTGATGGAGAGGCCGGGGTGGAGGAGTGCTATTCACACAGTAACAATCAGGAAGCAGAGGAAGAAAGCAGGAGCTCAGAAAGGAGCTCTGTCTCTCCACCGTGCACCTCTGGGACCATCATTTCCGGTCAGACCCCACCTCTTATCGGCAAGCCAGCTATAAACCCAATCGCCTTCCAAAAACCCCTCTTATCAGTGTATGAGGCTCTTGGGGACACCCAGATATAAAACATAACAGGGCTGGACCCAGGGGCCCTCTACCACTGAGCCACACCGCCCCCCAGTCCTTTGATTGATTTATTTAGAGACAGAGTCTCTCCGAATTGCTGAAGCAGTTCTCAAGCTGGCAGTCCTCCTGCCTTAATCTTTACCTCCATTCTTCAGCATTGTGATTCAGTTGGTCTGGCTGAGCTTGGGGCCGCTGACATTTTAAACCAAGTGCTACCTTAGATTCTGAAAAACCGAGTTGAGAAACTGATTTGCACCTGCCTGTGTCTTTCAGTCCTTCAAGGGTGGCAGGCTCTTTGATGTGTCTCAACCTTTGAGACGCTCTTCCCTCTGCTGGGAAGACACTTTCCTTTTCTTGTCCTAGATGTCTGTGTTTTTGCTCCTTCAGGCTCAATTTAAATGTTTCCTGATCACAGAGAATTCCTTCCCCTGACCATTGGCTCTAAAACGACCCCTCTTGTCATTCTGTTACAATTTTATTTCTCTCAATACTGTGACCATTCTAAAACTGGGGCCGGGGATTTAGCTCAGTGGCATAAGTGCCTCCCTGGCAAGCACGAAGTCATGAGTTCAATCCCCAGCACCACAAAATAAATAAATAAATAAATAAAATTATATGTTTGCTTGTCTTCTAAAATCTTTAATTCTCATGTTAGATGGGAGACTGAACAAGGGACAGTTTATATACATTTGTGTGTGAGAGACAGGGAGAGCTCTTATAATCAGAGGTTAGCACATAGTAGGTATGAAACAATCTGAGATTTTTTTTTCTTTTTCTCTTTTTATTGATACCGGGGATCAAACTCACGACTGCCTGCTTGCAAGGCAGGTGCTTTTATGCCGCTAAGCTAAATCCCCAGCCCCAAAACAATCTGAGATTTTACATCACTTGTAAATTAAAAAGCTAGCATGTTACTACTTCATGGATGTTGGCAAAGACAAAAAACCTCCTAAGTCAGAGACAGATTTTGTTACAGCCATAGAGGTGGCCAGTGTGGAAGAATTTGCACTGGATCTTTAATTCCCAGCTCCCACAGGTGATGGAAAAAGGTCCAAGTGACTGAACCACAGCGGGCTGCAGGCTGGAAGGGGAATTCCGAGCTTAGGGAGTGAGGATTATTCAGAACGAGCAGTCAGCCCATTTAACCTTTGTCCCAGAGGGAGACATTATCTTTATAACACCGGACAATACACAAGCCTGCCCTTTGGTCCACAGAGAGACACTATCTCTATTTTTCAAGGCTGTTCATTCTATAAACAGCCTTGAAAAGATAACGCTGAGCAGCGCGGTACCTTCATCTGTGAGGTGTGGGAGATGGGAGAGCTGCATGGCCAGGCTTTTGCTCCCCGGGTTTCTGCCTGGAGGCGCTTCACATATTAAGCACAGGAAGGGGGAACCAAACAGACCCAGAGTCCTCACCGAGCCTCTGGATGCAGCTGGAATTTGTAGACAGAGAGGAAGCTATGTGGAGAAAGAGCGCCAGCAATTTGCATGGGATTCTTTGAATTCTGGCCAGATAGTAAGCTGTGCTTGTGTGGGGTAAGACTCTACTAAGCCAGCTAGGAACAGCTGCTGGAAAAATAACTACCAGGGAGCTGGGAGCAGAATGGCTTCGAGAGCACACATCAGCGTGCGATGCTGAAGTTCCAAGCTGCCAGAATGGAAGGTGGAGAGGAGTTTCCATCGGCTCAGGCCTTTGTGATAAAATACTGCCCGGGTTGGGTGGCTTATAAGCAATAGAAATCTATTTCTTGTGGCTCCGAAGGGTTAAGTTTGAGATCGGGTGTGACTGGGTTCTGGGCTGCAGATGCCTTCTCCTGTGTCCTGACAAGGGCCAGAGGGTTCCTCGGGGTCTGATACAGGCTACTGGGCCCATTCACAAGGGCTCCAACCTTGAGGTCCTCATTATGTTGCCAAATCCCCATCTTCTAATACAGTCCCATTGGGAGTTAGGATTTTAATGCATAGATTTCTGTTGGACAAACATGCAGTACAGGGCATGGGGCAAAACTGGCTTTAGGATACAGATACTCTAGACAGGAATTTCTCAAACTGGGAACTATTGATATTTGTGTGTATAATTAATTCTTTTGCAGAAGGCTGTCCTGGGCATTAGAGGGTGCTTAGCAGCATCTCTGGCCTCTGCTCAGCAGAAACAAGTAGCACCCTCCTGACTGTGACAACCAACAGTGTCTCCACACACTGCCAATGTCCCCAGGGCGGCAGGGGGCAGTTTCTCTTCTGATTTAGAAGCACTGCTCCAGAGCCACCCTAGCAGAGTGTGCAGGCAGCATGGAAAGCTTTTAGTGTCTCCGTAAACAACTCACCTACAGATCTCTCATCTCAACACTCTTCAAGAAGATGACAAAATGCAGATGCTCACCAATGAGACGTTTGCAAAGTCTAGTTGTACCCAGTCAACAATTACTCAGCAAGCGTGCAAGACAGCGTGACACGTGCCAGGAGAGTATCAGTTATAAGACCTCATCTCTAAATATCTACTCTTGAATGAGGATGCAAAGACTTTCAAGAAATTATGTATGAAGATGTTTAGGGGCTAAAGGGAAAATGTTCCACCATGACAGAATCTACAGAAATTATATTTTTCTTGAACTAAAGAACACAATAGCTAAATTGGAAAATTAATTGAATCTGCTCAACAGCACATTGATTAGAAATTACAGAAGGAATTACCTGTGAACAGACACAGATAGCCAGAGAAATGTCCCTGACCAAAGTCCCAAAACTCAGTGACCAGTGAGATAATCCTGGCAGTCTAACAAACACGTAATTCAAGTTCCAGGAAGAATTAAGAGAGTAGAAACACATTGGGCAAAAAATAAAATCTAAAAAAGTGTAAATTTGATAGAAGCAATAAACTCAAATATCCAAGAAATCCCAAACTGTGCATCATCCACATTAGATGAAATTGCTAAAATCTAACATGGGGATAGAAAAGAGTTATTAGTTATATCATTAAGGGATCATGATGAGGGCTGGAGATGTAGCTCAGCAGCACAATGCCTGCCTGACAAGTGTGAGGTCCTGAGTTCGATTCCCAGTTCCAAAAGCAAACAGACAAGCAAACAAACACAAAACAAAAAGAGATCATGATGTTGACATGCATTTGTGGAGGTAAAAGGTGTCTACTACACTCTGTTAAGTGAAAACAGTGGGTTACAAAATAGTATATGTGGCATTGCTAATTTTCCCCTAAAAAATTATGTATGAAGAAATTTGTGTACTAATATATAGTGACATCAAGAAATTATAATGGCGATCACTTAACTCTTTTAATCTACCTGTTGGACTGAGATGCCGAGCCCATTTTTCTTGTTAAGTATTTTTTCATGTGCTATTTTGAGACATTTCTAAGCAGAGGAATTTAAGAATTGTTCTAAGTTTGTGAGGTGAGGATAAGTAAATTAGCTTGATTGAAGTTACCATGTCACAACATATGTGTCTCAAAACATGAGATACTTTGTATGATTTTTGGCAATTATACTTAATTTAAGAAGAAAAACATTGCTAAAATCTAATGATAGGAAGAAAAATTGTAAAAGTGAGCAGAATAAAACGCCACATTGCATACAGATAACAAAGATAGCAATGAGTGCTAACTTCTCATAAAAACAATGAAAGCAGGCTGGGGATTTAGCTCAGCGGCATAAGCACCTGCCTTGCAAGCAGGCGGTCATGAGTTTGATCTCCCGTACTGATAAAAAACAAACAAACAAACAATGAAAGCCAGAAAACAGCAGAATAGTATTGTTAAAGTGACACAGGGGGAAAAAAGTCAACGTGGGATTCTATATCCAGCAAAAAGTATCCTTCAGAGTATTGGAGGCTGGGGTGTAGCTCAGGGGTGAAACATTTGCACAACAGGTGTAAGGCCCTGGATTGGATTATTAGAACAGGAAATCAAAAAAGTTATTTTCAGAAAAATACAAGCTGAGAGACCAGTATAATGGACTCCATGAAATGCCAGAGGTCATCCTTCAAATTAAAGGAAAGGGGTATCAGTTCGGAGCTTTGATGAACAGGAAGAAACGATTTAACAAACCTGAGTAAAAAAACAAATTTACAAGAAAGGCCAGGGATTTAGCTCAGTGGCAGAAGTGCCTGCCTGGCAAGCAACGTTGTGAGTTCAATCCCCGATACCAAAAAACAAAACAAACAAACAAACAACAACAAAAAAAAAAAGAAAGTTTTTTTTTTTTTTTTTTTGGTGCTGGAAATCAAACTTAGGACCTTGTGCTTGCCAGGCAGGCACTGGTTGACTTGGCTACATCCCTGGCCCTTAAAAAAGAAATTTAAAAATATCAGAATAGATGTACAGTTACTATCTATAACTTAAAACCTCCTTATAAAGAAAGTCTCATCTTTCCAGGTAAAATTCATCAAAACTTTAAGTATTTATTTGTTGGAGACGGGGTCTTACTCACACAAACTGGGCAAGGCTAGACTGGTGCCATGGGCCACACTTTGCCAGACCCAGGGGCTAAAGCCTCAGTGAGCCATGAGTAGATCGATTTTGCTAAGGATTCTTTTGAAGTGGTAGAGAAGAGGGCTGTAACTTACATGAAACAACAAAAATCTAATACATATTCTGCTATGGTTAGATCTAAAATGTTCCCTCCCCAGTTCACTTGTTTGAAAGATGGGGATTTGGAAGGTGACTGGATCAAGCGAGCTTTGACTTCAGAGGACGAAGCCATGGATGAGATGATCTGACAGCATTGTCGGGAAGCTATGGACACAGGAAGCAAAGCCAAACTGAAGGAGACGGGTCACGGAGGTGTGACACGGACTCTACCCCGTCCCTGGTCCCTTCTCTTGGGCTCTTTCCTGCTCTCTCTTCCTAGCTGCCACAAGATGAACAGCTGTATTCCACCCCCCTCTTCTGTCATGATGTTCTGCCTGTGCAATGGAGCCAGAGGACTGTGGACTGGACTCCCTGAAACCATGAACCAAAATAAATCATTCCTCCACCGAGGTGTCTTTGTTAGATGTTTTATCATAGTAATGAGAGCTGACTAACATGCATTCCCGTCAGTCATTAAGTTTCCGGGGAATACCCAAGCATCTTTTTTTTGTTAATTTTTAGTTTATTTCACTTTATCAGAAAATATATTTTGCATAATCTCAATTCTTTGAGGATTGTTTAGACTTGTTTTATGCCTCTAAATATGGTCTACGTTAGTGACTATTTCGTGTGGACACCTTGGATAGAGTATTTACAATTTCAACTAGGTCAGTTCATTGATCGTGATGATAGACCTTCTGTATCCTTAACTGATTTTCTGTCTACTTGCTTCATAACCTAATTATAGCTCTCAATGATTATTTGTCAATTTCTCCTTTCATTTCCACTAGTTTTGCCTCATGTATATGGAAGCTCTTTCGTAAGGTGCTATGAATTTAGGGTTGTTGTATCTTCTTGGTGAATTGACCCCTTTCTCAGCAAGTAACATCCTCTTTCATCTTGGCTAATATTTGTTGTACTTGATACTAATGCAGTCAGTAGAGTTGCTCTGATTAATGTTTGGGTGGTATAACTTTTCCCTTACTTTATTATATTCTACCTGATAATTTTGTGGTCCTGGAAATAGAAATAGGGCGTCACACGTGCTAGGCAAGCACTGTACCACTGAGCTGCCCCTGCAGACCATCATCTTATACTCTGTACCTATGTCTACATTTACACTTAAAGTGGGGTTTCTTGCAGACAGAATCGGGTCTTGTGATTGTCTCCCAGCTGACAGCCGTGAATGGCTGCGGACTCTTCCTGCCCGTGCTGTTCCTGGAAACTCTCCCGCCATCCCACACGCAGCTTCTGTCAGCTCATTCACAATTTTAGTTGGCTTCTTCCCACTTGCATGGTGCTTGACATTTCACCCTCCTCTCGCTGCCCGGAGCCAGGGCTTGCAATGCTCCCTCTCCCTGAAGGTGCCTGTCCCCCCTTAGCACTCTGGCTGCCCTGTGCTGCGGCCCTGGAGTTCTGGGAAGTTCAAGTCAAGTCCGGAAGTTTGTAGGTTATTGAGTTTCCCCTTGTTGTGAATGCTGCTCTCTGTGCCTCCTGCCTGCCCCTCTCCTTTGCCCCACGCTCCTGCCAACAGCAGTGCCCCTCCACCTTCCCTCTGCAGCTCAGTCTCCCCTCCTCCCTGGTCCTGAAACCTGGGCACTGACCCCCAGTGTGCGCAGCACCCCTGCATCAGACAGAAGCCTGTCTCTCCGCAGTGTAGTCGGTCCCCTGTCGTTTACTACTCGGGCATCCACCCTTATCCTTCATAGTCTGACTCCCACCATCCCCAGCCCACACCTCCAGCCAGCCAGCTCTGAGTGTCTTCAACCACGTGCTGCCAGGAGCATCACCAGGGGGCGCAGCTTCCCCCTCTGCTGACACCACATGACAGTGCCCCTGCCTCGCCTGACCCAGGGAGGGGTCTGGAGTGTCTTGCTCATGGCGCTCCAGCCAAGCTTGCTCTCGCCTGCTCCATGAGAGCTTGAAATGTTCTGTCAACCGTCCTTGTTTTGTTTCCTTGCAACCCACACAAAACATTCACTTATGTTTCTAGTTGTTTTTGTTGTAGAGCACACTGTGGATATGTGTGTGCGTCAGCACGGCAGAATCCTTTCATTAATCTATCACTTCTTCCCCCTCCCTTCTTCTTTTGGGTGTTGGGATTAAACCAGTGCCTCACACATGCTAGGCAAGTACTCTGCCACTGAGCCACACATGTTGTATTAATAATTTTATTTAAACTGGGGAAAGTGGCATATGCCTGTAATCTCAGCTATGCATGGATGGAAGCAGGATTCTGGGTTCAAAGCCAGCCTGGGTAACTAAGCAAGACCCCATTTCAAAATAAAATGCAAAAAGGGCTTTAACTGTGGCTTAGTGGAAGAGAGCTTGCCTAGGTTCAGCCTTGAGGAGAGAACAGGAGAAACCAATTTAAGATGGTGCAGCCTATCTATCCATAATAAGCGCCCCTTGGGAAAGCTGACTCTATTTGCCAGCAGTAAAAATTGAGCTTACAAGTGTGGAACATGATGGACCTTCTGGGAAGAGCCAAGAAGAAAAATTTGGGACCAAGGGTCAGTTCCTAAATGAAGGTCAGAGGGCGCAGGTTGTGGGGGGCTCTCCAGTTTAACTACAGCTGCTGGGAGAGCTTGCACTCTGAGGTAGGGCAGGTTCGGGGGGCTGGGCATTAGGACAGGGCTGCTTCAAAAGAGCACTTTTATGGTGGCATTGTAGCACCCTGTGTCCTTCGACTTTGCCCTTGAGCAACGCTCTTTAAATTATCGCACAGAAGAGACTCTAGTGAGCTTAGAATAATCAGGCTTCCTCTGGAGAGTTAATGAAGAGCATCATAAAAGCCAAGGACGTCTTTTCCCACAGGGAGGACTGCAGCACTGGCAGTAGTGCCAATTTGGGCTATGCCGGTTGCCAACAGAGTGACGCTGTGGGAGAGAAAAATCTGTAATTACTTGTGAGCAGTGCAGTGGTCCCCTGGAGGAGCAGCACTCCGATAGGGGACACTCAGGGGTGCTCTGTTGTTCTTAAGTAGCCTCCTCTGGCTGTGACAGCCTCAGAATGTCCATCTACAAGGTGGTCCCTGGGGGGTGATGGGCGACTGCCATGCATCTAAGCAGACTATGATCTCATGAGATGGCTTTGGGGTACTGTCACTGCACCCCATTTAACTGCTATAGTGAATATAAAACAGTACATAAAAATATAAAGACACATATAAGAAATAACACACACATACCAAACGCATACAGATAATATGAACTTGGAGAGCAGCTGTGTTCCTGTGAACAGACCCTTTCAGTGCTCTGTCCTCTTAAATCTCATGCATACTGCCCCATGAGGTGGCAGGGAGGTGCTCACGTCACTGCAAGTGACAGTGGAGGACACAGGACGAGGAGTTCCAGGGTAAAAGCTCCACGGTGAATGTACATTGCCCCTGGCAGTGGTTCTTACCAAGTTTATCTGTTGCTGACTTTCTTGCAGCTAGAGGAGTACCCGGAATACAGGAAGAGTGCGGTCAAGATCTGCTGGACCCCTGGAACTGGAGAGACACTTTAGAGCAATTAGACTGCAGGCAGGACTCCATTTTCTGTTTCATAGGCTGGGTTTCAATATTTGGCTTTAGGGCCATGGACACAGCTCAGTGGCACACGCCTGCCTGTCAAGTGCGAGGTTGTGAGTTCGATCTTTAGTACCAAAAGAAAAAATATGTCTCTAAATGTGTAAGCCAGTTGCGACGTGACCCAAGGGATGTGTGGATGTGAGGGAAGGGAGGGGAGGAAGAGGATGCAAGGGCGACTTTCAAGGAAGGTGCTCTTCTGTCAATGCAAGACATGATAAAGGAACAATGCTGACCCCCCCCCATTCCCCCAGTGCCCACCGTCCAGAGGTGGTACCTTGGCTGCACACGACATCCTTGGGTCTTAACGCGCCCAGCCTATCTCTGTACTGGTTTTGGTTAAGACCTCATATAAGTCCTCCCTCACACGGCCATCAGTTTCTCACATGAAAACTTTCACTCATCCCTTGCAAGTCACTTTTTCTCAAGAACAAACAAGTTCAAAGTCACGCGGCAGAGGGGCTGAGCCCAGGTGGAGGCGGGCAGGGTGAGAGTGCATGCCAAGAGCAAAGATACCAGCATTGGACGCAAGGATGCACAAAGGGACAGCTTCGCACAGACTCCGTCCCCCAGCTTGCTCTGCTCCTGAGACAGTGGAAAAGCCGGGGCCGAGCTTCTTGTGGCTGGGAACGGGGTGCATGCTGAGGGGGGTGGATGATCGGTCTCTAGAGCTTTAGGCAGCAGATGCTAAGAAAGAAGCAGGCTGGGGGCCTTCTTTGGATGTAGTTCTTACAGTTGACCACCAGGTGGCAATACCTCCATCCAAACAGACTCGAACTCGGGACGGAGGAATAAAACTCCCGAAGAGGCGGAGCCCTGCGGGTTCTGGGTCTGGACTGCGAGGAGTACCCTGACTACCATGGAACTAATCCAGTTATAGATCCCATTTTCACCTATGTGTTCAGTCAACAGTCACCGAGAGCTTTGCATGTGTCCAGCCCTGGTCTGTGTGTTTTGGTGGTCCGGGTGCAGCCCTGAGCCACACCAGGTTCCCCCCACCCCATCTGAGTAAGACCAACATTAAACAAAGAGTTACAGACCACACACTCATTTCCCTCACGGTAGGTGTTATACATGGCCAGGGAAAGGCTTAGTAGCAGGAAGAACTTGATCTCAGCAAACACTGCCTTGTCAAGGAAGCATCACGGAGCCTAACACTTCCCTGCTGATTCACATCCCACCCCGTCCTATCACAGAGCTAATGGACTCCTGCAAACATCCCTTAATGCCTCCGAAATACAGTTCCATCACTGACTCGATGCAGATCTTAACTACAGACCCTATTCTGCTTCCCACATCTAAGCAACCTTTACAGTCCTTCCCCGTCTCCTCCAGTCTTGTTTTACCCAATTGCATCCTTTCATCAAATTCTCCAAGCGCTCTGCTCTTACCCATCTTTGCTTTTGCTATGCCTTCCACTCTACCCAACAACTAATCTATTCTTGAAAATATTTGGCACTCATGTCAGATTTGAGGACACAGACCTCTAGAACCAAAAATAGCAGGTTATACCATGGTAACTATCCTTACTTTCCTATTGACTTAGGCTGAAATCCTGTATTACTTACATTGTCTTACTATGACTGATCTTAATTGTATCTGAATCATAAGACTATTGGTTGGCCTTGACTGATCCTATTTGAAATCGGTATGCGTGTTAGAATCAACCCTAAAAGTAGAGGAAACTACTCTGAGCATGACAAGATGTAAAGGATATCCATACTGGTATGAATCAGTAACAGCTCTCAAATACTACAATGCAGTCAAAGTTTAGTTTTTATAAAAATAGGTGTTAGTATGTTTAACTATAATAAGCCAGTGTTGTGGACAAATCTATTGAAAATAACAAGAGAAAACATAGTAGCTACGGAAGATCATTTATATTATAGTTTTATAAGTCTTATCCATTGCATGTTTTTCTAGGAAATTGTTTCGCTGTCTTGTTATGACTTGGTTTTCCCTATAATACAGAGAGGATAGGAACAAATACTCTGAGGAAGAGACCTGAAAAACCCGAGGCTTATTTTGTAGCATTATAATATAAATTCTAGCAATCTATTGCTTGCTGATTAGAATGACATTGGACTGGTTTCTTCAGCTCAACTTCAGCATATGCAGAGATGGGGATGGCTATCACAAAGAGAATGAGAGATGCGATGGTAGTTGCTATTGTCTTCCCTAATTTGGAACTTGAGGACCTAAAAAGACTCCATCATCCTGTAATGATTTGATTAGTTCTATAATATGCAATAAGTATAGAAAGTGGGTGAAGTTAGGGACAACTATTTGTAAGAAGCTAGAGACAGTTAGATAAGGTAGATCTCCAGTGGACTTGCTTTGAAATCTGTATTTCTTTAAATTGTTTTTTATTTTTTATTTTTTTTTTCAAATGTTCTGTTCTGTTTTGATATGGTTAACCTTACCCTCTTAGAGATGTAAAACAAATAGGTGGGACTGCTAATCATATTACGGAGCTTTTGTTCGACCATAGAGCAGAATGGTTTATAGGGTCACTTTTTTGAATGTCATTCTAAATACTTTAATTCTATAACCTGAACAGCCATTTCGAAGATGACAATTTGTAACTTATCAACCGGCAATTTCTTACCTTTTGTTTGTCTGTAATTTAGTATTATTTCTACCCTTTTTTTTTTAATCTCCATGTATTTTTTTTTTCTTTTTTCGTTTCCTTTTCTTTAAATAAAAAAAAAAAAAAAAAAAAAGAAAATATTTGGCAAACCAATGAGCAGGTCCCCGAGTACCCACATCACAAGGTCATTCGCAGTCCTGTCATGGCTCCCATCCCAGAGGCAGGGTCTTGGCTCTCAGGCTGGCAAGGAGCAGGGCTCTTCTGCCTTATTTTTTTTCAGAAACAGCCAAAATGGAAGTGGCTCAGGTCTGACCCCACCCAGACTCGTCAGCTCCTGTAGTTTCTTAGAAGGTTGGCTGGGCTCGGCATAGGCCTCCGTCCTGAGGTCTGATTTGATTCCTGTCACAGTCATCCTGGGATTAGTAGTTGCCCTTTACCTCCGCCTCAGGATGTACCAGGCTCCGTAACAGTAGTTCTTCCTCTTCCCTCTGAAACATCAGAGAACTCAGAAGAGAATATTCCAGGGTTGGCAGAGACAGAGCGAGGGAATCAGCCTGCTTTGATCCTTCCTTTCCTTCTCCTCCCCGCACCCCTTCTGTTTATCTAGTTTTGCTTTTGGGACTGCACGTCCACAGCTGCCTTTTAGCAAGGAGGAGCTCAGAGGAATTGCAAGACCCAGCGTGACTTCATGGAACAAGAAAGGAAAGCAAGGCCAGAGAGTGCGAGTTTTTTGCCCGTGTCCCACAGCAGGTCAGCGCAGAGCCTGATGTCCCTACAGCTCTCCATGAAGTGCTCCTGCAGAGGGTATCCCTTACACAGTCTCTTTGTTCACATTAGCCAAGAAACGCTACTTCCATTAGGAAGGCACGTCCAATGCAAACCACTCCAGAGATTGCATTTCAAAGATTGATAGACATGGCTTTTGCATTATCTGCTGTTTCAGATTAGCTATGCTGTGGCTTCATTCTTTAGGGCTGATATTGGGGATGAGAGGGGTGGGGAGTGGAGGTGGGGAGCCAGTCTTGAGTCCCTTTCACAGGCCCCAAGCTCTGGCCTGTGAGGCTGGGTCCGAGGAGGACAGGGTGATCCACCCTATATTTTCAGTTCGTCAGGAGATTTCATTGTTTAAACAAACATTTCAGCGAAGCCATCCAGCTGGACAGTGATTTATGGCTCAGGCTACAGTTTTTCCCCAACAAAGATAAACAATCATGCAACTGTTGGGACTGGGACTCCTGGTTCTAATAATTCGGAGTTGGCTGGACCACGCCAGCCATCGCCTGGTCTGGGGTTTGGTTAGGATCTGTTCACACTGGTCCTGCGGCTAAGCCACAAACCTTGGGGGACCATGTTGTGTTTGGAAGCGGGAACCATTGCCTCCAGGGCAGGGGAGAGTGGCAGAAAGAGCCGAGAAAAATAGCCTGGGGTTTGGGCTTCAGGCCCATCCCCCCGCTTCCAAGAGGGCACCAGTGGTCTGCATTCCACCAGGTAGCTATTTGGTGTTTGGGATCAACAGTTTCCGTTCTTCCTTCTTTGGGAAATGTATGTTAGTTTCCTTCTGTGGTGCTGTACCAGGTTGTACCATGCTTGTGCAATTCCCTCAATTCTTGATGCCAAGCGTGGGTGTGAGCTCAGCCTGACCACTCAGAGCAGTGCACTCTAATGGTCATTGCAACTGATTGGGCGGGGTAGGGGCCATATAACCCAATGAAAAACGACAAAAGTAACCAGAAGTTTACTGAGGTGGTGGGAAGAAGGCAGGTACTCTTTCCAGCTAGATTTGGACTGAGGATGGCTTGGGAGCAGCACTGGCCGCCAGGGCCATTGCCACCATCTTGCTTCCAAGGTAGAAGTCTGTCTGACAATGGAACGAAAACACAGGAAAGGAGGCAGAGGCTGGAGAGAGACCACCTCCTGGTGACTATGCTGATGCTCCTGACGTCGCCCAGGTCTTTGGCAGTGTGCAACTGCAAAAGTCACCAGCATCCACCAGCCGACACAGTAAGGAAGGACTGGCTAGCGCAGGCGTCTCCCCGGTCTCCAGCCGGCATCCAGGGTCCATGGCTTGGCAAGAGTACAGCGACTTCCTCACCGACAAAGGTGTCGCCCAGGCAGATGCTTGTACTGAGAAGCCGATTTTCAATTCAGCAGGTGAGGGGGAGTTCCTGAACTCTCTGGAGCACGAATGGGTCCTCCCTGGGGCTGCTTTTCAGAGACTTCAGAGAGAAGTGCAGAGAGGTTGCATTGCAGTCTTAGGAGATAACATCGGCCCATTCATAGGACAGGGAGAACCCCAGCTTCTATTTCGCCATATTTCAAGAAGGGAGGTTTCGGAAACACAGCTTGAAGTCCAAAAGTCAATGAAAGGCAAGTATGAGGTCCTGAGTTCGGTTCCCAGTATTATGTCCCCCCTCCAAAAAAAAAACCCATAAAAGTCATAAAAGGTTGATGTAACTAACTGTATACAAAAATTTTGGAATGACAAAAAATACCTTAAAGTCAAAAGATAGGACAAGGTGGAAAAACATTTACTACCCAATGACAGTAGGTTGGTTGGTTTCTTAAATATATAAAAAGCTTATATTGCAGAAAGAAAAATAAGTAACAGCCAATGACAAAATATGCGAAAGGTGTGAATAGAAATTTTATAAGAAAAATAATAGAAATGTTATTTTTTTTTTGTCTTTTTCATTTTTATCGGTACCAGGGATTGAACTCACGACTGCACACTTGCAAGGAAGGCGCTTATGCCGCTGAGCTAAATCCCCAGCCCCCAATAGAAATGTTATTAAACATACAAAAAGATAACAGTGATAGTACTTATACAGAGTCTATTTGTTTATTTATGGTCCTGCAGATTGAACCCAGGGAGTTCTGAGCTGTATCCACAGCCCTTTTCAGTTTTATTTTAAAAATTTAAGACAGTATCTTGCTAAATTGCCTGGTCTGGTTGTGAATTTAGAGTCCTCCCGCCTCAGTCTCTCATGGCGCTTGGATTACAGGTGTGTATCACCATGCTTGGTTTATGGGGCTTATCTTTAGCTACACATTTAATTTTTATCAGAACTGCATGATGAAGGTTGCTGTTATTATAATGCCATTTTACTGATGAGAAACCAACCAACAAAAAACCCCCAACAAAACAAAACCACAAAAAAACAGACAAGCAAATTGCTGAAAGACACTGAACTAATAAGCCGTTGTTTGGAGGTTTGGACAATTAGGCAATTAGGGACCAATTTGCCCTTTGGAGGCCTCGTGGGGCTGAGGATGTTGCTCAGTGGTAGAGTATCTGCCAGCACACACAAAGCCCTGGCTCCACCCTCAGCTCTAGGGGGAAAATATGTTCGCCAAGCACTTTTTGTTCAATCTTACCTATTTTAAAAGAAATGAGAGTTAAAACTGCACCCAAATGTCATTCTTTAGATGTTTAGTTAGATTTCTTAGATGCTTAGTTAGGTTGACAAAGCTGAAAATATTTGTTGAATGACTGGTAAAACTGAGGAAGAAAAGAGCTCTAATGGTGGAAGGGTGAATGGGCGTAAATATTTTGGAGGGCAGTTTAATTCATCAAAATTTTAAATACATATGTGCTTTGACCTAGAAACCCCATTTTAAAGCATTTTTTTCTGATAATACAAAGTATTAGAGGTTTTTTTCTTTTGCAGTGTGTTTGTAAAAGTCCAGGAGCAAACTGAAGTGTCCATCACCGTGGACCTGGGTGTGCGGTTTATGGATGAGACAGTTGGCAATACGACAAAGAAAACTCTCTAAGATGCATTGTTATGTAAAAAGGGTAAAGGAGAGAATAAGGCAGAGCATGTTCCACCCAAATGTTTTTCCACGTGTGCTGGGACTTGGGGAGACAGCTGGGTGCCTATGGCAGGGATGACAGGGAGTGAGGATTTTTAAGAAAACTGTATATGCTTTGGTACCATTGAAGGACACTGAAAATATGTTCAAGGGTCATTTTTCATTTTTATTTTATTTATTTATTTATTTATTTAGTCTTTTTCCTTTTTATCGGTACCGGGGATCGAACTCATGACTGCCTGCTTGCAAGGCAGGCGCTTATGCTGCTGAGCTAAATCCCCAGCCCCTTTTATTTTTAATTAGAGTTAAAATTGCACCCAAATGTCATTCTTTAGATGTTTGGTTATTTTAATTATTTATTATTTATTATTATTTTTTTCTTTTTTTGGTACTGGGGATTGAACTCACAACCTTGTTTTTGCCAGGATGGCCCTTGTACCACTGAGCTAAATCCCCAGCACTATTATTTATTTATTTATTTTGTGAGTCAGATCTTGCTCTGGGGTTTAGACTGCTCTACAGCCTAGACTAGCGTTGGACTCGGGACAGTCTTCTTGCCTCAGCCTCCCAAGTGCTGGGATATGGATTACATGGCTGTACCACCATGCTAGTGTCATCTTTTAAAAACCAGTTACAGTTAAACATAGTACAGTGCTCTCTGGAGCCATCCCACAGAGAAATATGTGATTGCATTATTCTTCTAAGGACCGACTTGTCAGCTCATCTGGGCTCATGGGAAAAAGAAGGGACCTGTGTTGTGGGGTTACCCCCAGAACTGAAAGGGGCAGGCGGCTGGGGCTTCAGTAAGTTCTACCCGGGAAGAAGATGCTTGCCAGATGCTCGCCATCCTAAGACAGAAAACAGCATAGTTTGGACCTAGAATGTCCCCCTAAGCCTCATGAGCTTGTATGCAGGGCTTTTGGCAAGTGGTTGGGTCATGGGGCACTAGGGCTGACTTGCTGCCAGCAGGAAAGTCTGGTCAGAAGAGGTGAGTCACTGGGGTGCGACCCGGAAGGTCCATCGCCCTCCCCAGCTCTTCCCTTCGCCCTCTGCTTCTGTGTCTCTCCCGCCTTACAGCGGCCAACTATGGACTGAACCTCTAAAAACCATGCACCAAAATAAACCTCTCCTTTATCTTGTGCGTATTGTTTTGGTAATGAGAAAAGTGATAAAGAAGGAAACGTTCAGCCTCATTTCTTTCTGCGACATTAAGCTTTACTGGCGACTTGATTGTCTTGGGAGCCGCCTATGGGATTAGCAAAGCACACATCCGAGCTGTCTGGGTGGATCAAGGAGGTGTGACCTTGCGGTCTGTATCTGACCCCTCGCCCCTTCCGCTCTGGTACTGTTTCCCTGCTCTGCATCCTGGCTGCCGACAGTTTAACAGTTTCTCTTGGTCATGCTCTTCTGCACAATGTTTCTCCCTGGAGCCATGGAACTGTGAGCCGGATTAATCCTCCTTTACTTTGTGTCACGTATTTGTTCCTAGCAATGTGAAAACTAATATCCATCCATCCATCCTTCCTTTCTTCCTTCCTTCCTTTGGTACAGAAATTTTTTTGTACTGGGAATTGGGACTGGGGACTTAAGTGTGCCAAACATGTCCCCTACACCCCTGTCCAGTTTTTATTTCTTAAAAACGATTCATATACCCCAATTAATATGTGTGTTTCAGCACACACTGACTACAGAACTGCACCCAAAAATCCTTCCTTTAAAGAAAACGCCAAACCTAAAGTTTCTTTAGAAAATGTTTCAGGCAAATTCAGGAGAAAAGAGCTGTGCCCATGTCAGAAAGGAGCAGCTCAGGCAGTGTGAAGGTGGGATTCGACCAAACCACCATGTGCTGTATTGTGAGCTCTTGCCAAGGGTCTGTTCTCTGTGCAAGGATCTTTCATAAGGCTTTCTAGACTTCCAGGAAGTCTGAATGAGACTGAATAAATTGGACTGGGATGGGACACACTGTGGGCCTGGGATTTTAGGGTAGAATGTAGGGACTTATGAGTGGAGATTGAAGGAATAGAAAGAGAAGCTGAAAGGCCAGAGTGGCTAAATTCCAGAAAGCAAAGATAGACTAAAAAACAGGCTAGAAGGATTTGTTTTAGAAACAGTTCTGCAAAGAGCATCTTTGTGGAATGCTTGGTATACTTGTCCACGCTTCCTTCAGAATGAATGTTTACAAGTTGAGTGGTTAGGTCAGGGTTGTATATGTATATTAAAAGGTTTTTTTTGAGAAAAGGTCTGTCTGTGTTGCTGAGGTGGTCTTGGACTCCTGGGTTCGAGTCAGCCCCTTGCCTCGGCCTCCTGAATGGCTGGAACTTCAGGTATGCGCCCGCACCATTGATTGCACACCTGTGAGATTTTATCCGTTTCCTCTAGATGATGTGTGAGGTTTTCTCCTCCCTTATGACTTCTGCCAATCGTTTCAGAGAGTTTTGAGGCAGGGGATGGGAATTCGAAGAGTTCATGTCAGACATTTCTTATTCTTCTTAATAAGGTAAGGGGTGAGGTCCTGCCAAGTTCAGAATACTGGGTTCATTAAGCCTGGAAATCAAGGAGAACTGCAAAGGTAGGAAGGGTCCGGGTGACAGAGCCTGGAGTGCCCGCTGCAGGAGATGGTAAGCCTCAATTAGGAACGGCTTGAACTTGATGGTTTACCAAAGTGTGGTTTATTTAACAGCTTTGTTTTTACTACTGTCTTTTTGGCAGTGTTTAAAATGAGGAATTCTGTTTTTAACTGAAAAAAGATAATAAAATGGACAATTCAATTTAACTATAGAAACACTAATTTAGTGCTTACTATGTGCCAATTACAAGGTTTGCAAAAATGAGCTAGGTTTGGGCTGGATGTGGTGATGCACAACTATAATCCAGCACTCCGGGGGCCTGAGTAGTATTAATAGCAAGTCTGAGCCCAGACTGAACAGTTTATCAATGTAGCATGAACTTGTTTCAAAAATGAAAAGAAAAAATTGGGAGCTGGGTGTGGTGGTGCATGCCTGTAATCCCGGCACTCAGGAGGCTGAGACAGGAGGATTGTTGCAAGTTTGAGACCAGCCTGGGCTACAAAGTGAGCTAAAAAAACTATAAATAAATAAAATTAAAACCAAAAAACGAAGTGAGCTCAAGACCAGTCTGAACTGCACAGGGAGATCCTGCCTCAAAAGACAAAACAAACAAACAAGTAAAAACCAAAAAGTTCTGGGGATATAGCTCACTATCTCACTACAAAGGTCCTGGGTTCAATTCCCACTACCAAAAAACAAGACTTGGGTCCTGCTCTTGAGATGCTCCAGTCCAGTGACAGACAGGCCCATTAAGTAATAATTACAACACACTGCAACAAGAATAGAAAGAGGTAAAGCATACAGCTTGAAACAGCGTGGAAGAAGGAAATATCCTTCTTGGATATTGGATATTGGAGCAGGTTCACCTGGAGAGGCATGGGAGAAGGGTCAAGTCTGCGGGCAGGTGTGCAGAGTGAGTTGGAGGAATTTGCGTATCTGCTGGCCGCAAGGGAAGGCAGGGCACCAATCAGGGCTCAGAATGTTTCCTAACTGCAGTACATTTAACTCTGGCTCAGCTCATGGGGACAAGTGGAGGTTTAAGCTGCTTCGTGGCAGGTGCCTGGAGGCTGGTGATGTAGCTGGGGGTTTAGGACCCAATTTCCTTCTCTTGAGAATTCAGAGGTCTTCAGAGCTTGTGGGATGGGGTAGGAGGACTTGTGTGGAGATGGGACAGAGTGTGACTCCCGCCTTGCTGCTGTGAAAGGCTGAGTCACATGTGGGCCAGGCAGGAAAGCCAGCCAGGGATCAACAGATGCTGGTGATGGCTGGTGCCCAGCCTTCTGGGTGCTGCAGAGGTTAGTTGGTACATTATTCATCTCATCTGTCTGAGCCCTTTGTGTGAGGGACTATTTCTGCGCCCACCAACCTCTTTCCTCCCATCCCCTTTCCTCTTTTATTCTTTCATTGTTTCAGAGGACCCTTCATTGTTTATTTTAGGAGCACAGAGGAAGGAGAGAAGCCTTACCTGCTATTAAAATGTTTCTCCTAAATATTTTAATCTTTCCCCAATATCAAAGCTTTTCTTTTCCTTTTATGCCCTGTGACATCCCTCCTCTAAGGCAGAGAATAAATAGTCCAGCTGCTTGCATAGGAGTTGGGGTTGGGATGGGTTGTGGGCAGGGAAGACAATGAAAGAAAGAATATCGCTTACCTCGAAAATGTTTCCTGCTGCATGATAGTTGTTGGTCTGGCGATCACTGACCACCCTATAGCTGAAAAAGTGAATTGCAAGTAATATGATACATGAAAACTGCTTGGGGACCTGTCTGGTAATGAGGATATTTAAAGTTGTGTGCATGCTAATCAGGCATGGTGATACACGATTGTAACCCCAGCTACTTGGAAGGCTGAAACAGGAGGATCCAAAGTTCGAGGTCAACCTGGGCCAACACAAGAAGATCTTGAATCAAAATTTAAGAAATAGAAGGGGCTGGGCAATAGCTCAGTGATGGTGCACTCGGAATTCAAGACTCAGGATGGGGTCGGGGAGTGGCCTGTACATGCACAAAACAAAAGCAAGGATTACCCCTGCAGACTAGTGGCATGGGTCCCTCTACATCTTTTTGCTTTCCTGGGAGTGTGTGGTGGATGGCTGGAGTTGTAGTCTCAGTTTGCCCAGTTCAGCCTTTTGCTTTAGGTCTCTGATCGCTTGATTTTGCCTGTGTTGTGCCCACTTGAGGGAGTGATGCATCTGTAAGGAGCAGGGCCAGAGATTCAAGAGCGACATAAGAAGGCTGTGTCAAGGCCTGGAGTTCCCTTTCATTCAGATGAGCCTTTGGGGAGTGCCACCACCCCACCCATTGACAGCTTTTTTAGCCTCGAGCTCATCCCAAGTTGGGTCCCTGCTCTTGGGGCTGCATTGGGCATGGGTTTCAAGTTTGGTGGCACATGGGACAAGACAATGTGACCAGCAACCAAAACAAGCATTCACAGGATGTGAGAGGACCTCTGAGAAGCAAGCGGTGAGGAGGGGGCTTGCAAAAAGCTGCTGAGTAGGGAGGAAGGCTGAAGAGACTCACAGAGACTGGTCATCTTCTACCTTCGGAATTTTTCATCTGAAGCATGAAATTTAATAAAAGCTTTAAAGATCCTGGAAAAACAAATGAACCAGGTGAGAGAATGGAATCCTGGGGCAGGTGCAGCATCCATATTATTATTACGGTGAAGGCAGACATTGGAATTAGCTCCGAGATTGGGTTTGGAATCCTGTTATGTTGCTCTGGGTAAATGGGCCCTGGGGGAAAATTGCTTTGCACTTCCTGAGTTAGGAAGGGTGGGAACAGGGCTGGAGGAAGTGAATCTCTAGAGACAACAGTATCCCCATCCTCATTATCCAGGGAGATGCTGGGTAGAAGCCAGATGGCAAATATTTCATCACAGAGAGTATCCGTTAGAGAGCACATCCTGTGTCAGGGGGACCACATGCCTGGTGCTGATGCTGTGAGGCCAGCTGCCATCTTTCCTGAGCTCCTACTGTGTGCTCAGCGAGTACTGTCACATCATGCATCCCAGAACATTCACATTGTATTCAAAGCGATGTCACTCCTTCAAGCACATCTGTTATTTGTTGTTGCATGGCAACCACCACAAAACTTCATGACTTCTTTTTTTTTTTTTTTTTTTTTTTTGATATTGGGGATTGAATTCATGACCTTGCACTTGCCAGGCAGGCACTTAAACCACTGAGCTAAATCCCCAGCCCCAAACTTCATGACTTCTAACAAACCCTTATGGTTTTGTGAGTTGCCTTGGCTCAGCCAGGTGGTTCTCACTCAGATCTCCTCATGTGGAGTCACATGAGGAGACGAGATGATCAAGGTGACTCAGCACAGTGTGGGTGCTGGCTGTCCACCTGAGGGTCATCCTGGGCCATGACTTACACATGGTTTCCCCAGGTAGTTCGGTTTCTCATACGCTGGTGGCTGGGTTCTGAGAGGGAACATTCCAAGAGCAAGTGTCCCATGAGGCCATGCAGAACCCACAAGATTTCTTATGACCCAGCCTTGGAGGTACACGAATGTCATTTCCATGGCATTTGGTGTCAAGTCTAGATTCAAGAGAAGGATATAGATTCTGCCTCCTGGTAGGATAGTGGGTCCTGGATAGGATAGGATAGGATAGGATAGGATAGGATAGGATAGGATAGGAGTGTATGGGATAGGGAAGTAAGATGTTAAAGGTGGCATCTTTGAAGGGGAGCTACCACACATACCACCAGGGTTGCTCCATGTGCAAGCCATCTGTGCAGTTGCATGGGACCTCAAGGGACCTCACGTGGGGTCCCGTGCTTGGCTGAACGCTTTGTTGCCGCTATCTTAAACAGTTGAACCACCTTAATAAAAAACCCCATAGTTTCCTTTTCCCTGGGCCTCACGAGTTCCACAGCTGGCCCTCAGTGGGACTCCCTGCCCAGGGAGTGACTCCTGGATTCGTGCAGTGTGGTGAGGGGTGGGGCAGGAGCTGAACTCTGCTCTGCAGATGGACTCCTACCTCTGGAGAACACACAGACCGACCGAGGACACAATTTATAAGAGATGCTGCAACTGGTGGTGCAAATCGAGCACACGTCAGCTTGACTGTGCAAGGCGGGCCCAGACGGGCCGGGGGGATCCTCGCCTCCACACCCTCTCTTGGGTTCTCACACCAAGCCTACCCTGGGCAGGGCCAGAAAAGCTTCTCGGAATCTTAGAAATGTCCTGGTCCTCTCCCCACCCTCTCTGCTCTCGACCCTTATTCCCAAGGCTCCTGTGCTGGGGCCCTGAAGGATGGGGCTTCCCACATCAGGACAGGCTCAGGCTGAGTGGGGGGAGGAAGTGCTGAGCCCGGGAGGGATGATAAGGATGCAGGAGGAGCCCAGCCAGTGCAGGCTCGAGTTCTGTGGTGAGCCACAGAATTTTAGGGAGAGGGGTGGTGGGATGAAAGGAGAGAGCTCTCTGGTCTTCTCCGAGCAGCAGGCTGAGCACACTGGGACTCTGAACAATGCCACCCTCCTATTCCACAGCCAGATGGCCACTGGCCAGGCACAGGCCATGCCTTCTTCCAGGACAAGAAATGGCTCAAGGAGCCCTCTAGACCTTTAACTAGGGCACAAAGACAGTTCCAGTAGGAGGGCACCTCTGTTCACGGACAACCCAGGGGCCTTCAGTGGGGTCATCATTGCTGAGTGTACACAGCAGCTTTTTTCCTGTGCACGCCAGCAGAATCTCTTTGCCATCAGAGGCAGCTAAGCCATGTCACCTTTATGAGACTAAGAGGGCTCAGGAAGCTAATTCTAGGATTACTCTAGAAGAATCACTTACAGATGAGCTAGCTAAGGCCCACTGGGCCATCATTTTTTGGCTGATGCTGGCCAATTGCCTGTTGTTCTTGGTTTAGTTTCTCCCTTCCTCGGGCTCCTCTGCAGGGACCACTTTCCAAGTCTCCAAGTCCTTAGGCTTCCGGGTCAGCTTGGGAGTCCTCACACGAGACTACAAGGTGGTAGGGGGAAAACAGTCAAGATGTTCCTCTCTGCCTGGTTCTTGTGTCCTTGGAAGAATCTGTTTCCTCATGGATCCAGCTCAAGTTGCATCTCATCACCATTGCACCTCTCACTGGACATCCCTGGCTTCTCAGCTCTTCCACCACCTGTGTGATTCTTCTTCCATCGAATTCCCTCCCTGGGAAACACCTGGGCTGATATCACGGGTCACACTGTCTCTTTTATAACCAGGAAGCCCTGGAGGTCAGGGAAGACTCTGTGACAGTTTTTCCATTCCAAAGGCCTGGTTTGAATTCCACAGGGGTTTCCCAGGCTCAGATCCAGCTAGATCCCTTTGTTGTTCACATTAATAGTCAGATTCCAGAGCACAGAGCAAACTGAGAAGACACCCAGGCCTCCTCCCCCTAGTCCAGGTCTCTAGCCCTTCAGACCATCTTACTGGGGAGGAAGGAGGGGCCAGAGTTTAGGGATGGAGGCAGCCTGGCTGATGTGCTCAAAGCCTGGGTGAGGGTGCACGGGTGACTGAAGTCCACTCTTAAGCATACCCTGATGTCACTGCTCACATCCCTTGTTTTAAAGACTAGTGATCAAGAGAGCAAGTTGTGCTATATATGTGTGTGTGTGTATGTGTATGTGCTTATTAGGGACTAATATAGATGTGAAAGTATAGGATTTAACATTCAACACGGATGTATATGGGTGGTTTCCTTTGTGAGGAGGTGGGTCTATTGCAATTACACTTAAGCTTGTCTCTCGAGGTCACTTGACCCCCAAGACAAAGTCTTTTGGGGTCATTTGCAAGATACAGGTCTAGAACAGAATTTGTCGAGGAGTAGTTGACTTAGCCTGAGAACATGACGTGTTGGAGATGAACCTACATCGGGGCGTGGGAACTCTCAACCCCTTCCCTAACTGGAGGCCCAGCTCTCTCCAGCTGTGTTCACAGCTGCACACCACTCCTTCTATGGGGGTGAAGGAAACAAATGAGTGACATGTCACCAGATGACTGTCAGGGAGCTGTCTAGGTCCCGGTAGACTGGGACTTTCAATTTTGGAAAAGTGGATTGTACTTATTTTGGGTTTTCCTCATTAAGACACAGGATTCAGGGGGAAGAAAGCATGCAAAAGGGCAAATCAGGAGCACTGGAGTAGTCGCTGGATAGGACTCGTGTTTGCACACACGTGTGCTGGGGAGAGAGGCACATATCCCCACACTGGCCTCCCGACACAAGGCACTGCTGCCTCGATCCCCCAGCCTCCCTCTCCACCTTCCCTTGGGAGTACGGTCTGGGTATGAGCTTCTGCTTATGTTTCCTGCTCCCTAAGCACCAAAAAGGAAATAGAAAAAGAGAATTTTTTTGACAGAAAGAGGGCAGAATACTGAGGATTGAACCTATTGCCTAACTCATGCCAGAAACTGTCCTACATTGAGCCACATTCCCTGTTCTTTCTGTTCTGAGATAGGGTCTCACTAAATTGTTCAGGCTGGTCCGGAACTTGCAATCCTCCTGCCTCAGCTCCTTTAAGTAGCTGGGGTTATGGGTGTGTGCACCACAGCTGATGAGATATTTTAGCCTCTAGCTTCAGTCTCCTGTACACTCCTGGTGGAGACAGTGCGGTATCAGATCTGTCCTTTCTGCACCAGTGATTGTGCACCTGGACTGAGCTCAAGAGTCGGGATAAAGTTGGCCCACAGGACCTGCCACATTCAGGCAATGTGGTCCTTCTCGCCTGCCCTGGATCCTGTTTTCTCGTAGTGCCTCTGTGCCCACTGCTTGGTCCTGGTGACTGCCCAGTCCTTTTAGGCTTAAGACTCTGCTTTGCTCTCTCTGCATTTCTCCCCTGTCATCTGGTCCTTGCATTCTGGGATCTGAAGACAGACATCCTTGCTGCCGCCTGGCTGCCAGGACTTCCAAAAATCCCTCTGGAACTGTCCATTGCTGAGACCCACCCGCCAGCACTGACACCCTGTTACCAACTGCTCCTCCCCTCCCCAGCCACTGACTGCTGCAGAACTGCCACCTGTTGTCTGTTTCCACACCCTCGCGCATGCACTGTGCCTGTCACCCTGGACGGCTGCCCGGCAGCTGCACAGAGGCTGTCTTGCCAGCACCTTCCACCTGATGGGTGGTCCCGTCCTGTTCCCAGCCTGCCCAGCTCGCCTCATCTGCTGTCCTCGTTGGCCACATCTGGTTGGCTAGAGAGCGAAGCAGCCAGGATGGGCCCAGGGCACCCTCAAGAAAGATGGTTACTTTCCTTGAGGACTGAACAGGGAGACCCAGGTCTCAAATGTGATCGTGACAGACCATACTGAGAATAGTAGCTAATGTTTACCAAGGACTTAGGTCGTAATGGTGCCACAATTTACCAACATCACTCTATTATACAACTTCCTTATAAGGTAAATACTATGATATCCCCTTTTGACAGATGTAGAAACCAAGCCTAAGTAGTATAAGTGAATTTGCTTAAGGTTCCCTAGGCCTAAATTATGGAGCTACAATTTAGATCCAAGGTGTGAACTACAGAGCTCAAAGTCATAACCATTAGACCAAAGTGCCTCTGTCTAAGGGCCCAGAAACTTCCCTGTTGTCTCCAATGACCTCTCTGTGGTGTGAGAGCAACTGATCCCTGGGGAAGGCTATGGTCAAGGCTCTGGATACTTCCTGCTTGCTTTAGAAAACAGTACTGGAATAACCTCTTACCTGCTCACCTTTTTGAGGTCGTCAAGCTACACATCCTCCATGTTCCCTGTGTGTACCCAGCATTTCTTACTTTGGGTCTCCTCTTGGGCTCCTTAAAAGTTTTCAGGAGGAATCATCTTGTGACGATGTAGTTAAACAAAGCAGAATGGGACATATGACTAAATCATTGATGAATGGGTCTGTCTCCTTCGAAGGCCAGAGACTGTATGAATGTGAAGGAGAGGCAGGATGTGGGGGTGCAGAAGTGGTCAAGGGGAAGATGGAGGCTCCTGGAGAAGGTGGTACACATCACCCACGGGGTGCAGCCCTGCCTGCCCTGGAACAGCTATGCGAAGTGGAAAGGAAAGGTGTGCACTGAGTTGGGGGCCTTTGGTGTTCACAGAATGATCCTGTGGAGGTGAGGATGGTGGAGGATAGGGCCTGAGGGGGCTGGAGACTGACACGAGTACCAATGGGACAGTTCATTGTTAGTGGTCTTTGCATTTTGCTTATTCTTTTTTTTTTTGGTACCAGTAGGTGCTTATGCCACGTGGAGCAGGATTTTATGTCACTGGCCTGCATTTTGCTTATTCTTGGAAAAACAAGTTCTCAAGAAAGATATCAAGGAGAGAGCCTCATGCACTGGCCGCTGCTGGATTAGGGATGGCCGGACCCAAGCATCTCTTCGTGAGTCAGTGCCATTTGTGGACTGCGGAGGGAGAGAACCAGGCCTCACAAGGAGGTGATCCCTACTTGGAAACCAGCGCCATGCCCGGGACACTGCCAGAGTGGGAACAGCCACACCCAAGCTCTCTCTGTGAGTTAGTACCAATCGTGGACTGTGGAGTAAGAGAACCAGGCCTCACCAGGAGGTGATCCCTGCCTGGAAACAATATCATTTTCATTGTTTTGTTGGGTTGGGTTTTATTCTCTTTTGCTGTGTTTGATTGTTAAATCTGATGGCAGGAGCAGGTATTTGAAAGAGAGCAAGACATAGTATGGCAGCCACTTTGGATTTATTAGTGGCTTGTTTTGAAGTCCTTTATTGCATTCGCTGTTTTGTTTTCATTGTTTCTATTCTGTTCTGTTCAATTTTTACTGTGTCTGAAGGTATCTGCAGCTATTTTGAAGACAACACAACAAAAGGCATTATGGTAACTATTGATTTTGTAAGGTTTTGAAGTCCTGTATCACTTATACTGGTTTATTTTGATTGGTTTTATCCTGTTTTATTTTCCTTGGTTTTATCCTCTTTAAAATTAAAAGAATTATAAAAAGAGAAATACATCAAGGAGAATCTTCCTTTCTCCTGCCTACCCTGGATCAGTGCTGAGTTTGGGATAAGTAGCTCACACGTGGGTGGGGTATATTACCCGGGAATCCAGGAGGACTCCAGCATGGGGGCTGTACTCAGCACAGTCATGCTCATATCATGTCTCTAATTAGTGCCCATGTCTCTGCCCCTGAACCGTTCTGCTGTGCAAGGCTGGTCTCATCTGGCCGGCCTGCTGGGCAGGGCAGGCCTGGCAGAGAGGTCCCATTCTTTCCTCCCATCTCCCACCTCCATATTTGTTTGGGAGCATGGGCTGGTTTTTGAGCTTGTTGTTTTCAGTCCTTCTTCCTGGGTACCAAGAAGGAAAAAAGAGAAAGAGAAGATACTTTTTGCGTCTAAGTTATCAGAGCCCGAGAGACAGAAGGGAAAAGGAAGAGAGAGGAGAGAAGGATGTGTGGACAAACAAGTTGATGTATGGACACATGAGTAGGCTATGTCTTCTTCAGTTCAGAGTGGTGGCAAAAGGTGACATGAGACCAGGCTTGAAGCTATGGGCTATGGGTGATTGCCTGCTGATGCTTCAGAAGACTTCACACTGGCTGGAAGAATGGTTTGTGCTGGCTCATGCCATGAGCCTTAGCTCCTCTTAGCAGCAAAATCCTACTGGACTCTGGTAGCTGTGATGGGGTCAGAAAGCAGAGGTGTCGGTGTGGGTGGGTTAGCCTTTGTGGGCTTCTCAGGAAAGTCTTGGGGTCCTACCATAGCTGAGTGCCAAAAAAAAAATGTTGTTTGCAGATAAGCTCACTTGTTTGAGAGGAAAGTCTGCCCTCTGGTGCTGTCAAGGAGGGAGCTGTTTCAGAGGGCAAGGTGAGAGCAGGACTCAGCGGTGAGTCTCCACCCCAGTGTGTGAGCACAGGCTGGGCCCAGGCGTGACCTCAGTCATGCACGTGCACCCCACATGGTGGGACATGTGTGCCGCCGCCTGGGCTCTGGAGGCTGCAAGGCCATGCTTGGAAGAGTGTGGATCTGCTGACTTGGCAATACAGGGTGGGGGCTGGGCCACATCTGGAGGGGAGGGGAAAGAGCCCCCAGTGGCTGGGCTGTGGAGGGGCTTGCCAGCCCTGCAGCCCCGTGCTCCCCCGCCCCTCCCCCCAGCCTTAAGAGCAGTGTAATTCTCCTCACGTTAAAAGTAAACATCTGGCAGCATCTGCAGTGCCCAAAATAAACTAAGAACTAATAGGAGGCATTTGTGACCTCAGCAGGTCCTGAATAGAGAAAGAAAGGGGCGGGTCACTATGTGGAAACCAAAAGAGCTACTTGGGGGAGGCTGGACTAGCTTTTTTATTGATTGCTGATTAACTGGTCAGTGCACAAGCTTCTAGAAGAGCCTGCTGATGCAATTTGCCATGATTTCACAGGAACAGGGACATTACATCATCTCTGTGGGCCCAGATAGTGTATCAGGGGCTCAAAATTATGGTCAGTCCTGGGCTGCCAATTATACTTTACTGTAAGGACAGGGTCAAGTATCCAAATATCCCAGGATAGTGGGAAATCTGCTTTGACAAAGCCACTAGGGTCACTGCAGAGAGAAGTATCATTTTCCAGAAGTAGTGATTACCCGGACTCCCTTCAGAAGGATCGGAAGCAGGTGCCAGTGCGGCAGCAGGTAAGATCTCTCCATGAATGTGGTACCAAAGGTCCTGCCAGGGATAGAGAGGGAGGGAGGCAAAGAACAGAGAAAGAGCATAGTAGGTGGGGACCTCTCTCTCTCTCTCACTGTGTGTGTGTGTGTGTGTGTGTGTGTGTGTGTGTGTGTGTGTGTGTGGTGCTAGGATGAATCCAGGACCTAGGCAATGCTCTATCGTTGAGCTACATGCCTGGTCCAAGATAGCCATATCTTCACGCCTGTCTTCTGAAGATGTGCAGTGGTGCCAGGCAAAGCAGTGGTGTCAGGCTAAATAGTGACAAACATCCTGGCTTCTGAGTCTGACTGACAACAAGCTGGAAACAGCCTGGGACTGGCTGGCACCATGTGACAACTGTGAAGGGCTGAAGGATGAAATTGGGCATATTTGAACAGCATCAAATCCATTCCTCACAGCCACACTTAATGTAAGTGACAGACGGAGAAACAAATTAATACCACAAATATTGCCAGCCTTCATGCGCTTACAGGAAGAATCCCCCCAGCTAGAGCTGGGTTCCCAAGCTTTCCGTGTTCCAAGGACTACTCTGCCTCGTCACCCTCATCAAGTACCACAGTGGTGCAGTATGTGGGGCAGGACAGGAGCAGGAGAACAGGGAAATCAGGCAGCTGGCCAGGGCATCAGAAAGGGGTTTTATGCTAAGACAGCACAAACTGGGTGCCAGCTGTCCAAATCCAATTTGTAGGCATGCTCTGTTTGGCCCACACAGGTCTTCACTTTAATTTTGAATTTGAACTAGTGGCCCCCAAAATACACAAATTAGGAGGATCACATAAAGCTGAGATTCCCCTGAAATACCTATGCAGTCACGCCCAGAGGGCTCCAGGAAACACCACTCCCTGGGCTGCTGGCTCCTATGGTTATTTGTGATTTCAACTTGTCTATTAAGGCAGCAACTGCTTTTTGCATATTACAGAGTTAGTGGGGTTGACTTTCCCCAAGTCTAATTGAAATGAAGGTTACACAATGAAATGGAAAATTTTGGTCTTACTTTTTACTTTAGGTAAAAAGATTGAGCTCCTCCTTCAATACATTAAACCATGATTTGAATAAAACAAAGTTTTATTAATGAAACCTCATAACTTGAGAAAGACACTAACTAGTTTGTCATCCTTGCAAAAGGATTGGCTCTGTATCTTTTCTTCCAAATCTTTTCTACCTTCATTTTTGCATAGTTACATACGTGGGTTTCTATCCTGCTTTGTTCCTTTAACACCATAATTTCCACTTTTCCACCAGTTACCATAAAATTATCATTTATTGTGATTCTAAATAATGTAGCAAGGAGCAGCTCTGTGTTTTTAAGTCTTCTCATATTTAAATTATTCATTCAAAATGTATTTTTAGAAGCACCATGACTGTTCTAAACAAAGATTCAAGCATTAAAGAGTTAATCTGGAAGTTCCTAACCCGAAAGTGCCCTCTAGAAATCTCTTCATCTCAGCAAATTGTTGGAGAGGCTATAGGGGAAAAAAGGGTGATTTCAGCATATGTGACAGGATTGTGGGTAAATTTTTTTTTAAAATTTCAGCATGTGAAGTCCATTCCAGGAATAGCACTATCTTGAGACCCAAGTCAAATAGTCCTAAATGTGTTAAGCAGAGGTCTGTGTTTAAAGAAGAAACTCATTTGCTCTTAATAATTGCAAAAGGCTGCAGAGCTCAACTGTGGAGTCAGAAGAATCCACACAGCATCAAAGAGTAGTTCAAAAAGATACAGGAGGCTGAGATACAAGACAAACTGTCTTTCTCAATTACAGTATCTCTGCACCCTAAGTACAATCGTCATTTCTTAGAACAAAGGCTGCCTTTAAATTTTTTTTATTGATGGCAAAAAAAAAAAAAAAGGCTAAATAAGACCAGAACATTTGAAGGTAATTTATATCCTATATACAACCTAAAGAGTGGTGTAAACAAGGTGGTGTGTCATAAAATGAAATGTGATACAGATAACCCCACTCCTCCCTTCTGTACAAGTTCAGATGCAACCAGTGCTTTAAATCTCCAAGCAATGGAAACCAAAGCCCAATATACACTTATTTTTATTTGCCTCTCCACTCCCTGCCAACCCTCTGGAGCTAATAAATAAGATCAATATGGAAGGGAAGGAGAAAAGGTGAGTCTTTTCTTGAAATTGACCCCTGTGTGGAGCTGTTAAAGGCACCAGAGGAGGCTCTGGGAAATGGCCCGCCAGTTTTGTTTGGGCACCAACTAGTCAAAGGAAGCTCTAAGGGCAGGATTATGGAGCACTTGAGCAAACTCCCCCTCCTGTGGAAAGGCAGCCTGCCTTTGCCAATGAGAAACCAGCCTCCCTAATCTACTAGAGCTCTCTGAAGGGTCAAATAAGTGTACGGATAAGGGGGACAAACAGTAGGCACAATGTATTTACACTTTTCAAGAATCCCTGGAAAGTGCCACAGCAGAGTCGGTGGAAGTTGAGTCACCATGGGAATGGGGAGAATGGGAACAAACAGGGAACTGGCTTAGTAAGAAATACAAAATAAGGATACAGCGGTCTTTCTGGGCAGCAGGCTTCTGGGGGGCCCTCATATGCCTGGGGACCAGGCTAACTGGCCCACAGTGACATGAGATGGGACCATTGAGTCCATTTGCTTTCACGGTTAAAGGTGGAAATTGGCCTCATGTCTGCATAGTCACATCTCACAGACTGTCTTGTCGCATTTGTCTATCATTGTGACATCTCCAGTGACACTGTGAACTCCTGAAAGGCAGGGAGCATGTCCAGTATACCAGAATTTATTATAGCAGCTATGTCGAGAAATATTTCCTGGCCAGATCAGTTAGGAGAAGAGAGAATGTGTTGAACACTTTTGGTTTGATGATGACCTTGAGTTTTTCCACCTAGGGAAATACCTACAAAGGGTCGTAGGCTGCAGAAGATGCAGGAGGCTTGTGGGTGGCCAAAGATGTTCAACTGGGTCAAAAGCAGCTCAAGTAAAGCATTAAGTATAAAGAAGATTTCAGTGTTACCTTGTTTTTATGATGAAGAGCAAATAAATCAGTTTGGACAAAAATGGTAAAAAACTTCACTCTTGAGGCTGACAGATTCAAAGCTTTCAGTGCTATGACATGACGTCTTCATTATTACCCTCCTCCAAGAACGTTTTAAGATACTTTCCCCCTAACGCCATGGACTTTGAGTAGCACAGATACGCTGTATATGTGTTTATGTCCTATGGTGCTTTGGAGGGCCCAAACCTTCTGCAATATCTAATATTTTTCACCATGCAATAGCCAAGGCTTTTCCTCCTTGGGGTTAATGGTGGCTATTCAGAGTTCAT